TCTTGAAATATTCTAAACAATGTTTCTAAACTCTAAACGCTCTAAAAGACACAGAATGTCATGATTTCAGCTCTCTGCCTCCGCTGCTCTCCGCCCCTGCAAGCGCTCTTGGCCACGCCCACTTCTCCACTCTGCATGAAGAACAGCTGATCAGCTGCAGCAGGAAGCTTATCCTGCAGCTCTGGGCTGCACACATGTGCAGCAGGCACTAAATAATTTTAAAAGATTTATTTTACATAAAAATCCCCTGCCGATCGTGCAGCTCATCCATCAGTCAGCCAGTTGTGTGTCGTGTCCAATCTTATTTTGAAAAAACGCAATAGAGCGAGTCCGTGATAAATAATCTGCGAAGTAGCGAGGGACTACTGTACAAGTATTTCAAGGTTGGTATCGGGCTCAATACCGATAAAGCACTGGTAAAACTAACAACTATTCCCCCTTTTTATTATTTTGAACAGTCAAATCTGGAAATAAGTCTTAAAATTAGGAGGTACATTTAATAAACGTCAATGCTTTATGTTAAAATGTGAAATGGCCTTCATGTGACAGCTTCTGAATGTTCATCACTTGCTTCCTCCTTTAGCCTTCCTTCTTAACTACTTCCTCTTCTTCCTTTCCCTAAAGTCTCCCCAACTGCTGGACCATCTAGCTCCTCCTCCACTGCTCCTAACTCCTCCCCTTCTCCCTCCCCAACTCCTTCCTCCTTCTCATCTTCGTCCTCCACTACAACCTTAACCCAACCCAGTGCACTCCTGCCACCGAGCTCACCCCCACACAACACAGACTCATCTCCTCCAACAGGCTCTCAGACACACACACCCAACACCTGCACACCTTCTAACCCCGCCCCCAGCATGAACGAGGCCCAATCAGAGCTGTCGTCTCTCTCTCCTACAGTCCCCCCTCCTCCACTCTCCTCCTCCTCTTCACCTGCTGAAGGTGAGTTTCTTTAAAAACACAGAACCTCCCATGTCTCTTTCTTTGGTTCAGCCTCTTGTCTTCTGTCTTATAACCAAGAAGGAAAACTGAAGAGAATACAAAGTTTTTCTGCTTCTCCATTTTTACACAAGAAAGATGGAGTCTGTGACTGACCGATCAGACACAACATGCAGAGTTTATATATGATACTTAAAAAATGGCTCAACGTTTCAACAGATGTGTTTATTTGTGGAGAACTGTCTTAAATGCAAGTTAAAATATAAAAGTATTAGCTGGCTGAAACATTCACCTGGCAGCAGTTCTGAAGCTCTTTGGGAACATTGTAAATCTTTCTTTCTTCGTGTCCAGTCAGTCGTCAGGTACTTGTGTGTTAAACCTTGGCTGAAAGACTTTACATTGAAAATAATCCTTTGTTAAATCTGAATTCTTGTAAAATATGTGAACGGTCTTGTCAGCTCCAGGTATGTATCTGTATATTGCAGTGAGCCTGTGACGCTGGTATTAATGTACTTTATATTTGCTGTGAACGGGGTGGGCTGCATGGAGTCCGATTGTTGGTCAGATCCAGGAGGAACAATGTGGGTTCTGTCCTGGCCGTGGAACACTGGATCAGCCCTTTGCCCTCACTAGGGTCCTCGAGGGGTCATGGGAGTTTGCCCATCCAGTCTACATGTGTTTTGTGGACTTGGAGAAGGTGTTTCTTCCTGTGGGGGGTTCTCCGTGAGTATGGGATTAGGGGCCCGTTGCTACGGGCTGTTAGGTCCCTATACAAGCGGTGCAAGAATTGGGTTCGTATTGTTGGTAGTAGGCCTGTCGTGATAAACAATAAATAAATTAATCGCATGATAAATGAAAAT